TTTACGGGGATGCGGAAACATATTGAAAAAATGTTGAAATAACCCGAAAATCTGGAAACCAAAATTTTATCTCCATTTCTCTCGCACCCTCGCACTCTCTCTCTTTCTGTCTCTCTTTATCTCTCACTCTCTCCATCTCTCGCTCTCTCTCCATCTCGCTCTTGCTCGCTCGTTCTCTCTGGCTACCTTGCTCTCTCCCGCTCTATCTCTCGCTGCTGCTCCTGCCTCTCTCTCACTCTCACACTCTCTCTCTCTCGCTCTCATTCTCTCTCTCTCTCTTTCTCTCTTTGTGTCGCTCGCTCCCTAGCTTTGTTTCTCGAGCTTTTTGTCACTCTCTCATTACCGTACTGGAATTTGTCTGGAGCACGACGTCCTGAAGTCCCTAGTTTTCTGGACGCGTTCTCGCTGTTCCCGAAGAATCACTGCTAGTTTGCTTACCCTCAAAAACCAAAGATATCTGCTCAGCATTCAAATTTTTCCGAGGCTTGATACAAATTCTGGCCTTACAAGCACCCAAACCCGAAGTAATACGCTCCTAATCCCCATCCCACCCCCAAAATACCGTCAATTGTACCCGAAACTTTTTGCCCGCGAGTCTAATCTGGCGACAGGATATAGAAGTGAAGCCCCTGATCACTATATGAGAATATCTTTGCATATATGAGGGGCCCGGACAGGCCGTATAATCCCCCTGTCGACACCAAACCACCCGTTTTTATAGCGTGCCCCCCGGGCCCGTTAATGAGATCCGGGGTGTCTGTGTTTTAGCGCTACCGTAACCGGCTGACCAGAACAACACGTGTCGTTTGGATTGGCGTGTAGGGGTCTGGGCTGTTTCACAATGAACTAGATATGGTATGAGATATGGCCTGAAATTCTAAAAATTAGTGATCTCTTGTATTGTATAGCTAACCCTCTCTCACTCGCTCTCTCTCGCTCTCTCTCTCTCTCTCTCTCGCTGGATACGTCTTACTTTTAAATAAAAAATAAACCAAAATCACAAAATTTGAACATTCCGCGACAGACCTCTTAAAGGGACTGGCATGTGTGCAAAAATCGGCTAGGTCTCGACAGCTACGCGACACGCCTGAATACGCGTGACCAGTGGCTGAATTGCTCGCGATACGGGCAAAAACGCGGCTATGGAAGGGGTCGATTTTCGGACTTGCCAATCCCTTTAAAAAATTCAGAGTGGACCGTATCTCCTAATAAATTCGGAATTTCAGGGCAACTTCGAGGCGGTCACCGACCCGACGTGGAAATTCTGTGCCCTCATCCCGGCCTCCAAGGGAAATCCGTGAGTTTTTTTGCGAAATTATTTTTGCGTTTTGTTGGACTTTTTGAAAGCGGCTACCGTGCCCCAACCCCGGGGTTCTTTGGCACCCCAACAGAGCAAAGAATATATTTTGTCACCGCCAGAAGTGCATATTTTCAACCACCCGGCTGGACTTTCTATTTTCGCGCGGCCGATTTGCACGGAAAATGGCGCGGAATTCGTAGCATTTTTGGACTTGAAAATGAAAAATAGCGGCTTCGGGGCTTCGCGCCAAAACAAAGCGCTTAGCTACGAGGTTGCGTAAGATTTTTTGGACGGAAAATGTGCCCAGGCCTAATAAGCCTAAGCCTAGCCTAAGCCAAGCCTAAGCCTAGCCTAAGCCTAGCCTAAGCCAAGCCTAAGCCCAGCCTAAGCCAAGCCTAAGCCTAAGCCAAGCCTAAGCCTAGCCTAAGCCCAAGCTAAAACCTAAGCCAAAGCCTACGCCTGAGGCCAAGCCAAACCTTTCAAACCGAAGCAAAGCCCTACGGCGAAGCCTAGCTGAGGCGCCCGCCTAAACCCTAAGCAGCAGCAATCCTAAAGCATAAAGTTCAAAACCAAATCAATTAGGGTCCAATTTCCGGCTGTTTTTGGGTCGTTTCGGGATGTTTATCGGGCCCGTAATTGGTGAAAATTGGCGTCAGAATTGTAAATTTTGCGGGCAGGTGGCCAGGGTCTGGTCAGCAGATAGCAACGATGACGCACTTCTAAACACCTGAGACCCAAAAAATGCTTTTGCTCAGCTCAAAAATTACGGCATGCACCTGCCCGCGTAAATTTTTTTCGCTGAAAATTGCGATGGAACGCCGATGTTTGGATACGGGAAGTTAGGCATTAAAGGGAGGGGCTAGCCCAAAAGTCTGGTGCTACTTGTCATGACTTAGCTAAAGTAAGGGATAGATTCTCGAAGGTTTCTAATGAACCAAAATTAGCTTAAATTTCTATTTCCAGCGCGGCAGCATTCGGCATCCCTGAAGATGATCAGATCGAGTACGTGCAACCGTACAAGGAGCTCTTCGGGCAGAATGATCGTCGATATGGCATCCTCTCTGTTTGTCTCTATGAGGTTTGTGAATTTTTATTTCTTTGAAAAGGAGAGAGCGAGAGAGAGAGCGTGAGAGAGAATATGAGATAGAGCGAGAGCGAGAGAGAAAGTGTGTACAGGAGAATGAGCTCGAGAGAGTGAATCAGCGTGCGCGAGAGTACGCAGGTCGAGACGTAGAGAGGGGAGGGAGACTGGGAGATTGGGAGATAGAGAGCGCGTGAGAGAGGGCGACAGTGATAGGCAGAGCGAGGGAGAGAGAGAGAGAGAGAGCGCGAGAGAGAGATAAAGACTTGCCAGTCCCCTTAATATTCGAGGAAACCAAATTTTACAAATATTTTCTTTGCAGCGCTACCCGGCGACGGCGAAATCGCCAATGACGGAGTACCAATTCCGGTGCATCTGCAACTACGACAACTGCAACAAGAACGAGCATTTCCTCGGATACATGAAGGATCTGCGGCATCATCAGTATTAAAGTGTCGCGGCTAACCTTTGCTAAATTCACAACAGGAGGGTTTTAGGGGTTTGTAGTTTGTCGTTTGGAGGCTAGGGAATGGTGTGACAACGCGTGTTATGCTAATTATGCCAAGTTCGGCCGGATAATCTAATTATGGAATTTTAACTTCTTAAATTTTTTTAAATTGTAACCTTAAAACTGTAAATTTTACTTTCAATTTTTTGAAAATTTTGATTTGGCTTAATACGATAGTTATACAAAATTCATGTTAAAACAATTTAATGTATCAATTTCGAGCTTTTAAAGGTGAGTGGTATTTTTTGGATTTTCAAGGTTATGATAGACGGCAAACTACAAGTCCTACCGTAACCCTCCGTTCCTCCTGCTCGCTTTTTAGGCAAATAGTTCAAATATTCCCCCACACCCACCTACCGTATCCCCCCGACTGGTACCGTAATCACCCCCAACTCTTCAGACCCCCAAAACTCCGCATAAATACACATCGACATCACCCCCCGAATCAAATCTGTGATCTCATCCCACCATCCCCCAATTTCCGATACGTTCCTAAAGACTTTATGACGATGAGCTTCAACACCTTAAATGGCTCCACTAATTTTCTCGCGTGAATTTTTGTGCCGTGTTGTGTGCTAATGTCCTTCACATCCCCCAATTTCCCCCTGGCCGCCGTCATTTTGTGTGTGTATATGTGGAGACGAACTTGGAGTTAATAAATTATTTCCAGAAATTGGGGTGCCTGGCACGAGAGAGAGAGAGAGAGAGAGCGTGAGAGAGATCCAGAAAACATGAAGAAAAGAGTGAGCATGAACGGGGAGTCAGAGGGAGTGCGAGAGATTGTGTGAGTTAGAGAGAGCGGCAGAGTGAGAGAGAGGGAGAGAGAGAGCGAGACAGCAACAGAGAGACAAAGAGATACAGCAATACAGCGAAAGAGCGCGTGCGAGAGAGTGAGAAAACGAGCGAAAGAGAGATGTCCAGAGCGAGAGAGATAGCGAGAGAGATATCGTGAGAGAGAGGGAGAGAGAGAGCTACATATTTCTAAACAAATATGATTATACTTAAGCATTTGATCATTTTTTGTGATATACCATTTCTCAATATCTATCTTGCTTTATTTCTAGCAAAAAGCACAGCGCGCGGATGGATCGCTACGGGACCTCTTTGGGGCCCATGCCCTAATGTGGATACAGCTGGCGTCGGGGGTCCGGAATTCCTGGACAGCCTGGAAGAGGTGTCAATTATTATACTAGCCAATGCAGCGTAAATTTTTTGGAAAAACTCATAATTTACTTGTTCTAAGCTTAAAAGTTAAAACCCTGGTTTTGGGTGAAAGATTAGTTTTTGATGCTGATAGGAAAATTTGAATTTCGATTTTTTCGTTTTTCGTTTTCGTCTTTTTTTATAAGGCTTTTAGATGATCCACTATCTGTTAGAGCTCAACCGCCGGATCGTTACGAATAAATATTTTATTCTGCTAATTGGCTGTTGCGTATTTTATAAATTCACTAGAATATCTAATTTAAACGTGGCAGGTGGGTGTCGTTATTAAAGAAAAATTTAGTTTTTAAATAAATGTTTAAAAAATCTAACTAATAGAGTTCTAAATTGTTTTCGTTCGCGCAAAATCCCATTTTGCAGATCCTCAAGCCGTGTTTCGAATAAATATTTTTGACTATTCGAATGGACGGGCGTTTGGTTTTCAGAGGAGACCCGAGGTTGGGATAGCCCAATGTTTTTGCACTGAAAAAAATGTATGTATTTAAGGTCTCACATATTGATTGCGCGAGGATATTTGCCGGAGATATGGGATATATGAATTTATTTGCGGCAGATCGACGCATAGCTATGGTCGTAAGTTACATTTTGGGCCTGGGAAGCGCTATGATCGACCTCTTTGGTTGTCTATGTCTCGACACTACGCGACATTCCAAATCACATTAGTAGAATATTGCAGTTGGTGCATATGCAATTCCGGCGACCAAAATCCCGACAGCCAAAACCCGCAACAAGCAAAAATTCCGACTATTTTCAATGACACTCTTAGCTGGAAATAGCAGATAGATTGTCGACATCTAGTCCGGGCCAGGGGTCGATTGTCGATCTTCCTAGTTCCTTAAAACCGTTAAACCGGCAGACCTATTATTCTTCAGCCAAACCCTGATCTCGAAATGTCTTGTGAAGCTGTACGGAAGCGGGTGGTCGGCTCGATTCCGCATCCAGTTCTGAATTATTCGATAGCTTTTGCAAAGGATGTGCACAAGGTTTGTCGGAATTTTTTATCTCTCTTTCTCTCTCTCTTTCTCGTTCTCTCTCTCTCTTTCCCTTTCGTTTAAGCCTAATTCAAAAGCTTCTAGGCTTACGAATTCCTGGAGCTCGGCCTGGCCGCCACCTACAGTCCCGAGAATCACTACTGCTTCTCGATCGACTCGAAGGCGGATCGGGAATTCATTCAGCACTTCCGGATGCTGGCCACCTGCCTACCGAATGTGTATTTAGCACCAGGTTGGTCGCCATCCTAACACGGGCTATGGTTAAAGACCGCCAGAACCAGGGTTGGTCACAAAGGATCCGGTCCGCGGACGGTCCGCGGTCCGGTCCGGTCTGAACCCAGAGGACATGATTCAGGAGCTAGATATGGAAAATTTTGTATGCAAAATACTACTCTCCCAGAATTTGACATATTTTTCCACATCTAGGCTACGATCCGTCCCTTATATAGCCAAAAATTAAGGGGGAATGAATAATTTATACATTTTGATTAAGCGAATTCCACATTGCGTCATTTTTTTCGTACACCACTCTTTTGCAATCCGAATTTGCATGTTGCATTTCCGTTTCTCCTAGCAAATCAAAACCCCTCGGCCCGCCACGGACCGGACAGGTCCGGTCCGGTCCGGTCCGGATGGAAATTTCGGACCGGACCGGACCGGACCGACCCCCGGACCGGACCGGATCCGATTGGGGTCCAGTGTGACCAACCCTGGCCAGAACGATGAAATTCCGTTGAGAGCAAGAAAGTTGCGCTCCGGGCGGGGGTCGAACCCGCGATGGTTCGCTCCACAGTCCGACGCGCTAGCCACTATACCACAGGGCCAAGTGGGGAAGGGAGTCAGAGGTGCCCCAAACCCCAGAGGGCCTTTGCCCAATACGGGGCACCACTAATGACGCCTCTCTCCGCGTGTTCTTGGGGGCAGCACCCTCGGGGTGACAGTGCGCGTTCCATCGTTCTGGTAGTCTTTAAGCAGTTTTTGTCGCACTTACTGGAAAGTAAGGATTTTGAGGTACGACGTATTGTCGACACCCAGTACATCCAAAAGGTCGTTTCTCGCGCTTAGCAGTCCTTAAGTATTTGTTTGCCACGCCGAACCTGTTTGAGAGCGCCACAACATGAACTCGGCGGGTGGTTTCGTGAATCGGGCCCACCTCGACTGTCTCGAGATTCTCATCGAGCAGCCGAATTGGGAATACGCCGTTTTGCAACAAGTAAGTGGTTTTATTGCTCTTCAAAATTACCCTCCAACCTGGCTTTAGACCTACGATCTCGTGGCCCACTCGAACGAGGAGCTGATGAACATGTTCAAGGTGGGGTGTTAGATATCGGGGGATTTTCGGCTTTCAAAGGAATTGGGAAGATCGCTCTGTTCTACTATTGTGTCAAAGTTTCCGTTTTAGATACTGAACGGATCGAATGATGCGACGACAAATTTGGTGCCAGGGAATCGAATAGAATACTCGTTGAATTGGACGGTGGAGGAGTTGAATTTCTTCCCAAAAAGTACGTGCCGAGAGAGAGAGAGAGAGAGAGAGAAAGAGAGGCATATCGAGAGATGAATCCAATTCCAGATTTCTCCTTCGGCCCAGCGCCTAAACAAAAAAGCCGTATCGACTTCGCCAAGGGCTATGTCCAGGTAGGTCGTAGATTTCTAATCAGATCTCCAAATCAGGCCTCCCTCTCCCGGGCAGCAGTCCATTGGATGACGCGCGAGGTGAACTTGACGAAATTCGTGGAGCAGCTCAACTTTTTGAATCACAAGGTTTGAAGCCCTAAAGGATTTATAAAAATCTCCGAAATTCGGCAGGGCTACGGCGTGGACGAGCAGTTCATCGCGACGCTGATCAACTCGGATACGTTGGGGATGCCGGGCGGGTTTCATCACAGATGTATTAAGAAGGGGATTCCAACGTTTATGACGAGGTCAGATCGCGGTCTAGCAGAAAAACTTGCGTCAAAAAGCGGGACTGGACTATTAGCGGGGGGAGGCGTTAGCGGAGATCAATAATTTTTCCGCCCAATCTATCTTGGGTTGTAGGGAAAATTTGATTTCTCCAGCTTACTGCCCCCGCTAAGGCACTAAAGGCTAAAAATCTACCGTGCCACTTTAGATACACAAAATGGAGCAAACCCTGCGGCACAAATCGGATGCGCGCCAATCAGTGCGTCTGGGGCGTCGAGGATTTGGTGGCGCTCAGGTGGGTTGCGCAACAGGCTAGCAGAGACCATCTGCCGGCCAATTTTGTTGTGCGATTTCCGGCCGGTAGGGATCTTTGCCAGGTCGAGCTCCCTAGCTTCGGTTTGGGGAATTCCGGTCGCTTCGCCTAAATCCGTTTCGCCTAAACCCGTATCGCCTAAACCCATATCGCCTAAAACCCATTTCGCCCAAAGCCCATATCGCCTAAAACCCATTTCGCCTAAAACCCGTTTCGCCTAAAGTTTTGGCCATTTTCATAGTTGAATTTTCGACAAAAAAAGATCGAAAATCGGTCAAAAATACAGCAATGAAATGACAAAAAATTTTGGACGACATGGGTATTAGGCGAAACGGGATTTAGGCGAAATGGGTTTTAGGCAATACGGGTTTTAGGCGAGACGGGTTTTAGGCGAAACGGGTTTAGGCGAAGTGGTTTTAGGCGAACCGGCCGTCACCGCTGCTAGCCCACGGCGCGTAAACGTCAACTAGCAGAGTTCCTTGAGCTTTCCACTCGAGTCTAGCTGTCGCAACGCCTTTAAAACAGCAATAATTCCAGGAACATCTCCCGCCGCTTCGTCATGGTCAACAAGTTCTTGCCGGATTTTGATTTTGCCGGAATTTCGTGTATGGCGGAAAGTATCTGGAATCGAACCCATTATGGGGCGGATCCGATTGATGAGGAGAAGCTGGGAAAACATGGAATTGTATGGGAATTTCTTAAATTCGATCACTTAATATTCCAGAAATACTACAACGAGGTGCTAAAACAACAGCCAGGATTCGACGCGGAAACGTTCGACTGCAATGTGACGTTCCCGAAATGATCATGGGCTGAACGAGATGATGAAAATTTTTAGCATTAATCTTTGCCGTTTATTAGGTATTTTGGGGTACGTTACATTCCAGAAAACGGGTGTTAATAAAAGAATATATCGCACCTGCCGAGTAAAAGAGAGTACAAGAGAAAAACCAAGAGAGATAGGCGAGTGAGAGAGACAAAGAGAGCGACAGAGAGAGAGAGAGAGATAGAGAGAAAGAGAGAGAGAGGGACAGAGAGCGTGAGTGAGCGAGAGAGGAAAGACAGAGAGAGAGAGACAGAAAGGAAGGGGAGAGAGACCGAGAGAGACACAGAAGGAGCCAGAGAGAGCCAGAGAAAAAGCGATAGAGACAGAGAAAGTGAGAGTGAGAGTGAGAGAGAGAGAGAGAGAGAGAGAGAGAGAGAGAGAGAGAGAGATAGAGAGTGACAAGCCAATCGCACCAGGGCAGCCATTTATTCATCAGTATTTAACAAAAAGCGAATCATAACACAACGCAGAGCGATTCTTCCTTGATTTCGCGTGGCTCATCTCGACGGGGGGATTGATTGTTCGTGTGTTGTTGTCGTTGGGGGTGATTGTGGTGGGGTGCTCGTCGCGAGTTGGAGATTATTTGGCGGGCGATAGGTCGTAGTCTTCGTAAGCCCCGTCCTGCAAAAATCAATAAAAAGGAAAACGGGGGAAACCAATTTTTTTTGCACAATTTAAAGGTCTAATGGCGAAGAGCACTTATTTTATTAGTTATTAGGGCTAAACTCCAGATAACCCTCCGCAGCCGACCCCCACCTACCGTATCTCGGCTCCCTGTTCATCTACAGGTGTGTAAAGTATACCAAAATACTCGCCAGAGCAAGACGAACATTTTGGTATACCTTACACACCTGTAGATGATCAGGGAGCCGAGATACAAAAGTTGGGTGCCGGCTGGGGGGGTTATCTGGAGTCTTACCGTTTTTAGGTAAATGCAACGCTATTTCAACCATAAAAACTGTCTATACGCTATTAAATGTGAAAAAGTCGAAATTTTCTTAGAAAATCGAAGTTTTTGCAAGCAATTTGTAAAGTTTTACCTTCAGGAATAATAAAAAACAATTTCGATCTATCAGTTATCTATACTCAAAAAATTGGAACTTAATAACAAAACGAGTCAACCCTGCTGACCTGGGCGGACTTGGCTTCCCGGCTGGGTGCAGAAGCCTTCTTTGTCTTCGCTTCCTTCGACGGCGCTTCCGGCTCTTCAACCGATTCCGGCGTCACCGGCTCTTGGGCTTTCTCTTTCTTTTTTTTGCTTTCTGAAAACGGATGGTCGAGTCGATTGAAGAGAAAAGCGGAAGGGGGGGGGGTAAAGTCGGTAACCGGCAGAAACACCCCCGCCCGGCCGACCCCACCTACCGTATCTCGGCTCCCTGGTCATCTACAGGTGTGTAGAATATAACAAAATGTTCGTCTTGCTCTGGCGAGTATTTTCGTATACTTTACACACCTGTAGATGAACAGGGAGCAGATATACGGTAGGTGGGGGTCGGCTGGGGGGGGGGGGGAACTGCACTTAAGCCAAAATAAATCCCAAAAAACCCACTGCGAGGGCCACCGCCGCCACCACCGCAACCGATGACGACGAGGATGAGGATGAGGAAGGTGAAGAATTGGAATAGCATTTCGTAGACGACGTTCACCACGGTGGGGAGGCACGGAGCAGAAAGTAGGAAATGAAACACCTTTTTGAGCCAGCGGGCACAAGAAGCTACTTCCGGGGCGGAATAACTTATGCTAATCCAACCAAGTTTATAACAATTTAAAATCGTTATGCAAATTTCGGTCGGTTTATCATTTGCCATCATTCCATTGCGTAATGGGTCAAGAAAAAGCACAATTTTAAAATGTAGAAACATTTTCAGCCAAATTTTAAAGATTTGTATATTCTTTTTGGCCAGAAATCCGGTTAAAACTTATTTATTCGCTATTATACTAACGATTTCTGGACTTATCTGAAAAATTTCACCCCCCCCCCTCCACCGATAACACACCAGAACATCACTTGTTCAATGAGTTTTGATCCATGCGTAGGTAGACACGGCATCAAACTCGATGGCCAATTTGAATTTTTTTCAGCCTTTTTTTGTTGAGTTCAAAAGGGGGAGTGGCGCTTTTAATAAAGCGGGGCTGCGTTGAATGCGCAATTTTGGATGTTCAGCGGCGGATGCCTGGGTTAGGGTGAATTTCACGGGCGTTCCCTTCAACAAATTTCTCTCTGTCTCTCTCTCCCGCTCGCTCACTCTCTCTCCCCCCTTCTCTCACTCTCTCTCTCTCTCTGTCTCTATCTCTCTCTCTCTCTCTCTCTCTCTCTCTCTCTCTCTCTCTCTCTCTCTCTCTCTCTCTCTCTCTCTTGCTATCTCTACTTTGCTGCTTGAATCTGACCAGCATTGATGATTATTCGGTTTTTAAGCCTTCAAAAATCGCCAAAAATTCATTTTCAGACGCCCTCCAATATGGGGCGATGGCTTGAGGGATTTTGCCTAGTTACAATCGCGGCTAGCTTCCTCCTGTTACTTCAGAGGGAACGCAGTGTCCAGATGGAAGGTATCCGCTTACACTTTTTAAAACTTAAGGTTCTAGGCATTTCCGCGCAATTCACAATCATGCCTTCACCCGATGCCGTTGTCTTGCCACGTTTCCGGAGCCGGCCTGAAGTAATTCTTTTTTGACGTTTGATACAAATATTTTTAGGTGGCCCACGTCGATTGCGCTCGGATTTTTGCCGGTGATAAGATGTATACACAGCAGTTTCTTGGGAGGAAACGGATCAAATTGAAGGTATTCTTTGCATCGACATAGATTTTAAACGGTAAAAAAATTATTTGGACATTTCTGGCGGTCGCGGCAGCTTGACCATCTCGCAAAGGTCGGGAACCGTTTTGCGCCCTCAGGCGGGCTCCAGCACGCCACGCCAGGTGCTCGCAGCTTGGCTTTCGCGAAGCCGTCGGAAACCATTTTGGTTCCCACCGGTTGTGGCGACACACAACTCGCGCTTAGTTTCGCTCCTTGAAGCCGTCGTAAACGATTTTGCTATTTTGCATCCTCGACACGTTGCAGGTGCGCGCAACTTGACCTCCTCGAAGACGTCGGAAATCATTTCTTCCTTTGTCAAACGTCATCCTTAAAATCAAACCTTTCAGCATGCCACCAACCTGTCCATGTCGTGTGAAGCAATCCGAAGTCGTGTAATAGGCCCGATACCCCATCCTCGGCTCAACTTTTCGATCGCTTTCGCTAAGGGAGTGCATACAGTATGTTGCGCAGACGCCACTATAGTCTTAAATCCAGGACTACGAATTTCTGGAGATGGGTCTCGCCACGACGTACAGCCCCGAGAATCACTACTGCTTTGCCGTTGATTCAAAGTCGACACCCGAATTTCAACAACGTTTTCGGATGCTGGCCAGCTGCCTGCCGAATGTGTATTTGACGCCGGGTTGGTAGTCAGATAAGCTTAGACTTGACCTAGGCATGACGAGGCTTGGCTTAGGCTTCGCTTAGGTCTACAAAAAAAATCGTCCATTTTGTAGTGAAAAGGAGCATGACATCAGCGGGTGCCTATGTGAACCGAGCCCATTTGGATTGTCTCGAGGTGTTGATCGAACGGCCTGGATGGGAATATGTCATTTTGCAACAGGTACGGTACGGTCTAACAGGTACGGTACAGTCTAGTCTCTAGTAATCTACCGTAGTCGCTACGTAAATTTAAAGAAAATTTCGTTTTAGACTTACGATTTCCTGGCTCACTCGAACGAAGAGTTGATGATGATGTTAAAGGTATCATCGTGTACCATCACTTTTTCAAGCTCTTCAACCGGAAAAAACTCTTTTTGTAGCCAATTTTTCCCGGAGTACAACGTCAATCAAAAACTCTATTGAATTTTTTAGAAACTGAGGGGCTACAACGACATCTTTGCTTGCCAGCCGGAACAGATGCTGGCAAAGCGGATCGATCGGAGCCTGAATTGGACAGCGGCCGGGCTGAATATTTTTACGAAAAGTACGCTTTTACGAGTGTTTTACGAGTTTGAAAAGCTTCGAAAATAAATAAAAAAAGAACTGTGTAAAATATAGCTTTTTTTAAATACCGTTTTTACACGTTTTCAGGAAGTCCCTATACGATCGAGCAAAAGAAGGCGGCGACAATCGAATTCGGCTATGGGTATGTTCAAGTAAGTATAGATTTTCCGGGCGAGAGAGAGAAAACAGAGAGAGAGAGAGAGAGAGAGAGAGAGAGAGAGAGAAAGAAGAGAGAGAGAGAGAGAGAGAGAGAGAGAGAGAAAAAGAGAGAGAAAGAGAGAGAGAGAAAGAGAGAGAAAGAGAGAGAGAGAAAGAGAAAGAGCGAGAGAGCGAGTAAGAGAGAGACGAAAAGCGTCGATTCTTCTGGGATTTCTAGGCTACCCTAGGCCGGAAAGCAGTGAGGTGGATGACACAAGACGTCAATCTAACTACATTCATCGATCACATCACCCACAATAAGACCGTATTTTGTGCAAAACTCCCAGAAGTTCTATACTTTTAGGGTTACGGTGTCGATGAGCAATTCATCGCCACACTAGCCCTTTCCGAGACGCTGCAGATGCCGGGCGGTTTGCACCATCGATGTGGGGGAAAGCCGGGCTTCGGCTACTTTACGCGGTAGGCCAGAAAATGACTATAGGTTCATATTGTACTATATACGGAATACCGTTGAAAGATAGTAATAAATTGCTGGGTTTTTATTTAAGTACCAGGGCTGAAAAACCGCTTCGCGGCTTTTCAACCCTGGACCCGTCTAGGACTTCTGAAAAATTGACTTTACATAGGGCTTGCCGAATGCCGCTCACCAAAAATGAAAAGCGCACGCTCCCTCCATTTTTATAGCCTACGGCCACTTCCGGTCAATGCTAATTGCCTCCTAACAAAGAGGTTTTTCGATATATTTACAAAAACTTAATTTTAATAGCGAAAACAGCCGATTTTCTTAATTTTCTATGTGTGCACCCATCTCGGGACCATTACGCACCTAATGACGTATCATACGTACCTTAAAAACCTGCCCCTGAGGGTGCAGGTGCGGTACATACTTGCGGAAGTTGCATGCAAATATACACACACACACACACAGACACTATTTTTTTTATATATAGTAGGATACCATCTGGTTTAGGTATACCATCTGGAAGGGCGATTGCAAGACGGGTAAAAGGAGAAACGGGCAATGTATTTGGGGCGTTGAGGATTTGCCGATGCTCAGGTTTGTTTCACTCTCCCCGTCTCTCTCTCTCTGTCTCTCCCTCCCTCTATCTCACTCGCTCTGTCTTTCGTTTTTCTACGAGAATTCATTTGCGAGTTTTACAAAAATAGTCCATCGATGACGCTAGCTAATTCCAGAAACATCTCCAGCCGCTACTTGATGATCAACAAGTTTATCCCTGATTTCGACTTTCTGGGCATTCACTGTCTATCAGAGAGCATCTACAATAGGACACATATGGGTCCCGATTTCGTCAATTTGGAGCTACTCGGAAAGCACGCTATTGTAAGTGATTTCTGGCTAGTTTTAAACCCACACTATTGGTTATGACCAAAAAATTAGAGACTTATAAAACTGTTCATTTCAGGTTTATTACAACGACGTGGTCAAGAAAGAACCCGGGTTTAATTCCAGCGCATTTACGTGTAATATTACATTCCCTCAGCCATGACATGAGGTCGAGTTTCTACGGTTCCACACCATTTTTCGTGCAGCTACGGGTGTGTTTTAGGCTAATAAATTATTTACTGCTGTTATTTTTTTGAAAAGGATTGTTCACCCCACTTGGGGGCGTGCGCCGATCCCGACGGCATGTGCAATGCCGGGACGACGCTGTTTGGCGAGAAGCAAGCTTCTGCAAACCGAACCATTTCCAAAAATATGTTAATCTCGTTGTACACAATAGTGTACGTATCGGAGATTAAAGGGATAGGGGCGGCATAATGCAATCGATTACGCGCGGGAAAGAAAATGCCTCTGCGCCTCTTCCTTGGGCGCGCTCTCTGCCCTGTTGGCTTCTTGCCAATTTGTTGATGGGGGGGGGATCGACACATGCCGTCGGCAGCCCTTTAAGCCGATAAGAACATTTACTAAACAATTGATCATAGCCAGAGGCCAGAAGCGATGTAGATGAGGGACGGGGTGTGTATATCCGGTGGGGAAGTGGTCCAGGTAGGGGGCGAGTCTGGACGGGAAGGGACATCGACAGATGAGATCCCCAGCGATCACCCAATTGTACCCCCCGGGTATTCATTGACCTATTAAATTTACTAGATTAGATGGCTCGTACTAAGGTTTCAGATGACGTGCATCTGCTGTCGTAATATCGCCTTTTGAAGGTTTTCATGATCATTTTCGAAAATCTATAGCCAGCCACAATCCCGACAGGCCAGAATCCTGGTACATTCGTGAAGCTAGTGGCAATGCCATTTCCTTGAAATACCTATTTGGTATAGATTTTGGATGTCGGTATTTTGGTTGTCAGGATCTTGGTTTTGGGGATTTTCGGGATTATTCCTGTCGGCGTCTGTCTGTGAGCCCAAAAATCACCTAGAAACCGAACCAGACTATACTGGATACAACCAATGCCCGCTGAACGCCTCCAAGACGTCGCCCAGTTTGACCGTCCTGAACCCCGGAAAACAACACTTCTATGGTCAAAATAGTCACAGGGCTTTCGCAAAGAGTCGCAGCCCGTTATCAGGGTCTTAAAGTTCTCTGGCCCGTGTCGCTCCGGCTAATTTTGCAGGCGGCTTATCTCGCATTATACGTCCGGGGTGTATTCACATAAATTCTCGACTGACTGTGGCCATAAAGCGCCTACAATTATATAATTTGCAACGCCTTAATGATTGTTCCGGCATTTTTGGAATTTTCGAACTGGTTGGAAATGGTTGATACGCCAAGAGCCTTGCTTCGAGCTTCGAGTTCCAGGTCTTTTTAAAGGCGTCAGGACGGCCCGTGTCAGTTCCAAAATATCTAGTCCCTGTCGTGTAACGCGCTCTCTACGGTTTTGTACATAGCGTAAGCAGTTAGCTGTTTGCTATGCATCTCTGAAAAAAAGGAAAAAATGCTGAAAATCCAATGGAAACTAAACATGGGGCAAGCCGGTCGGGCAAGACCAATTTTTATCCGGTGATTCCGTACGGCCATCTAACGAAATTTAACTCATTTTTGTATAATTTTATAATTTTTTGCCTCTAAATAATTCGTAAAAATCCAGAAGTCCACAATTGTCAAAATTTCGAATTTTTTGAAATTCCTCAAATATTTTTATAACTTCCTAGCAATCAAGTATTAAAATTACCGTAGAAATTGATGATGAACAGGTAGGTGAAAAAGTAAAAATAGCCTTCCCTTTCCGTTAAAAATCCACCCCCCCGCTAACAACCCAGTACCAAAATTCGCAACAATTCGTGGCTTTGAAAAAAGCTCTGTAGAAGTGTCTCTGGCAAGCTAGCAGAGATCATTTAGGAATTGAAAGGTGGAGCTTACTGCCATTTATTCGTTTGATGGCCCCGTATTATTCGACAATAAGCCTTCCCACGCATACAATCGGTGGCGCATCCGCATTGCCAATCCAAAGACCGCCATTCGACACGTAAATGTTTTCCCACGGTTTTGCCGCCAGAGTAATGGTCCTTCCTTGGCCACATTTTGGAGGCGGATTAATTGGTAATTGTCCTTTCGGTCGGCCATTAAAATCTGTGCGATCTATACAGGGTGTCCCAAAAAAAAAAAGCACCCCCCTCTAGCAGCGCGCAGTCGTGTCCGATTTCCACCGTTTAGGTATCTATCGAAAGCTCTTGAAAAGGCGAGAAAACAAGGAGGGTTCATTTTCTTTATTATGTATTTTTATTAGCAAATTTTACGTCCAAAAACCATGAAAACGGCAGATTTACGCGAGATCTGCATGCTAATCGCGAAATTCCTATTGAAAATCTACCTGTTTTTTAGCAAAACGTTGAATATCCAGCGTATAAAAATAAATTTCATAAAATAAATCCCGCTTGTTTTCTCGCCTTTCCGAGAGCTTTCGAATGGTATAAAAATTATCCCGATCTGCGCTTCCCCCGGACCGCTAGAGGGGGGTGCTTTTTTTTTTGGGACACCCAGTAGTCATTTAAACTACGAAATCCACACCTTAAAGGCACACTAAAATCTCGTGCAAAAAGTCAGTTCGCTGTCGGAAATCCGGGCCCTCTGCCGCGCAACGCCCGGGCCGTTCTTATCCCCCTCCCCTCTCCCCTCTCCCATCTGTCCGATGGCCTAGTGGTCTAAAGCGCTCGCCCTAGGCGAGTGGCGCAGGTTCGGTTTTGCTCCGCGGCGAGCACCTACCGTAACCCTGTTTGCTATTCCGCGGACGGTTACCGGCCGGTAACCAAACCAGCGAGACGTTAGTGTACCTTTAACACCTGAAATTCAAATTCAATTGAACCCGTTATCCCCGAATACAAGTTTTTGCCTCACGGCAAGCCTGATTTCGGGGGACATGTTTTGTTATTTAAAAACCTGTTACTTAACCCTTGCGGACAGGGTTGCTAGCTAATTTTATAGAGCATAAAATTAAGGATGTTTTACATAGTAGGACACTTAAGAAATTGAGTATTATGTGCTACGCTACTCACAAGGGGACGTTTTTTAGTGTGAATGGAGTTTTAAGTTGAAACCAGGCCTATTCTGTGCAGAATTTTGCGCTGATTCCGATGCTGTTTTCCAATTTTGCTAAATAGCTCGATTTAAAAAGTTACAGCTATTTTAAGATGATTTTTAGGCGCAGAGTAGCCATATGCCATGATGTGCTACTTTTTTGTTTTAATTTTCCAATTTATTTTAAATAGCCTATCTTGTAGAGAATTTTTTTCTGACTCGAATGGTATATTTGATTAGTGAGCTACTACCGATCGATGATCACTTACAAGGGGTGAGACATAGGCACTTTTCGCCATCTCCCATACAAAAAACGGAGTCCACACCAAGTATCGTCAATTTTTTCGATTTCCAACAATTTTGAGTTAAATAGCTCATTAGATAGAAAAAATTTTTCTGAGTACGATGACGATATTTATTTTTGGAAAATCAGCCGGGAAAAGCAACATAATGGACCTTCAAGATGGCGAAATTTGGGTTAAAATGATCTTAAAATTGCTGTAACTTTTTAAATCGAGCTATTTAGCAGAAATGGAAAACAGTTTCGGAATCAGCGCAAAATTCTGCACAAAATAGGCCTGGTTTTGTCTCAAAACCCCATTCACACCAAAAAACGTCTCCTTGTCAGGAATTTAACAAAAATATTTGCAGACCCAGTGTAATTCGAACAAATACACTCGGTCCTTCTTTCCGGTCATAAAAAAGAATTTAAGGCGGAATTTAAGACAGAATCTAGGCTCCAGGGTAAACTACAATGTGTCGAAAATTGATATTTCCATGATAAAGAGTAATTATATACATAGTAATTATAAAAGAGTCTGGCTTTTAAATACTTTCCACGGATATCGGTGTCGGCGGTGACATTTCTATGTCGAGCCCGCGGCGAGCCTGGCAACGCGTCGGGGGTAAATTTAAAAATTAATATCATTGCCATTTTTCGCCAGCCTAAAGCCTTTGGTCGTATTTTACTTACGTCATATTCTTTTTTAGTCTTATCCTGTTTTCCGCATTTTTCATATTCTTTTTTTTTGCAATGAATCTACGAGACTCCAGGCATTTCCACAATGTTAGGAAAATCATTCTTCAGATGCTAGCCAAACCCAGTACAATAGCGCCCTGGGTCGAGAGAATTTGCATTTTCATGGCCGGACTGTTTTTACTATTTTTACTGCAAGGCGAACTGGGTCCACAAGTCAAAAGTAGGCCTTCAAACCTAAAAAAATTGACGGTTATAGTTATTTCGGCTAGAATCTGGCTTCCGAGTTTTGCTAAAGAGACGCTGCCGCGTTTCAGAAGTCGGCCCGAGGTGGGTTCAGAACAAAATTAAAACAAAATAGTGTTAATTTTATTAAATTTATTTAAAAAATTATATTATTTTTTCTATAGGTAGCTCACGTGGATTGTGGCAGGATATTTGCTGGAGACGTAAAATATACGAAGCAATTCGTCGGTAAGCAGCGGATTAAGTTAAAGGTAACGAGAAATGGTGCTTGTGTATTATCGGGGGCTATGTTTTTTAAAACAGGATTCCTTAAACTTTCTAAAATACGAAGTTTTGGTCGAAAATTCCAAAAGACACCAAGTTCTGTATTTTTCAAAAAAAAATACAAACCATTCAAAAAAAAATAACTTTTTTAATAAAAAAGCACAGTTTATATGTATGTTCTATTCATTTTAGAAAGATCAGACCTTCCCACAAAAAGATTCCCCCCCCCGATCATGCCAAAGCACCCCATTCCATTCCATTCCAGCCCATAGCCAACCTGTCAATGTCGTGTGAAGATATTCGAAGTCGAGTGATCGGTACGATGCCTCGACCTATTCTCAACTATTCCATCGCTTTTGCCAAAGACGTTCATACGGTAATTCCGAGACACACTTTACGATCCTTGACCTCAGGACTACGAATTCCTTGAGCTGGCCCTCGCCACGACGTACAGCCCCGAGAATCACTACTGCTTCTCCATCGATTCAAAATCGAAGCCCGAATTCCAACGGCACTTCCGGATGCTAGCCAGCTGCCTGCCGAATGTGTATGTGCCACCGGGTAAGAACAGGGGGCATAGTAGCACTTATCTTTGGGGAATTTGGGGACGGGAAAATACTTCGTTGTAATATGCTCACTGTTATTATCAAAAGCTCAATCAAAAATGGTTATAATGGTTAATAGAAGTTGGTTCACCCCCTTTTGGAGGTGTGCGCCGTTCCCGACGGCATGTGCAATGCCGGGACGACGCTGTTTGGCGAGAAGCAAGCTTCTGCTAACCGAACCATTTCCAAAAGTATGTTAATCTCTTTGTACACAATAGTGTACGTATCGGAGATTAAGCCGATAAGAACTGAAACTAAACAATTGATCATAGCCAGGGGCCAGAAGCGATGTAGATGGGGGGAGGGGTGTGGATTTCCGGTGTGGAAGTGGTCCAGCTGGGGGGCGAGTCGGGACGGTAAAGGGGACATTTGGAGAACAGACCTCAAGCCGTCACCATCTGAACCCCCGGGCTATTCATTGACCTAATCAATTTCAACTGAAGTGACGAGATAGGCGATCGATTAGAAATCGTATTCTTAGAGAAAAGGAGCATGACATCTGCTGGAGGTTTCGTTAATCGAGCCCATTTGGATTGTCTCGAGGTGTTGATCGAGCAGCCCGGATGGGAATATGTCATTTTGCAACAGGTACGGTAGCACCTCTAATAATCTACCGTAGTCGCTACGTTGATCTATTTCTAGACCTACGATTTCCTGGCCCATTCGAATGAGGAGTTGATGATGATGTTAAAGGTATCGAAATGTGGTTTGGTGCTTTTGCATTATCGTGGGGGGAGAGGTTTCCGTTTTCACATTTTGTTTCCTGCTTATCTAAAGTGTAACTAAATTTTCTCGTTAAAAGTTATTTGAATTTTTCAATGTACAAAAAATATAGATTTTGGTCAAACACTCAAAATATCAGTTTTAAGATAGATTTAAGTTGCTTAATGTAGTTCATTTCACAAGCCAGTTTTTAGCCGCTAAAAGGTTACAACGACATCTCCACGGGAGACGGTAAAAAGTGGATTAAAGGTCGCATCAACGCCAAATTGAATTGGACCGTGGCCGGCTTGAATCTTTTCATGAAAAGTAAGTCAACGAAAAAAAGTTTCTTCCAACCCTCCCCCCCCCTGATAATGCCAAAGCGACTATGCATAGTGGCTTTGGCATCGACAGGTCGCAAAAATATTTTTAAAACTAGCTTATTGGCAGAAGTTAAAAATTTAACCCGCTTTAGACAGTCCCCACACGGCGGCACAAAGGAAGGCGGCCAAGCTTGAATTCGGAAAGGGGTTGGTTGAGGTAAAATCTATTAATTCAGGTTCTTAGAATTCAAGAACCTCTATTCAAAAAGGGTTTCCCTGAGACTCTGACCGTCCCCGTTCTTTTAAGACAGCTTTAGGCGGCCCTCGCGCGAAAGACGGTGAATTGGATGACAAGACAGGTCAACCTCACCACAATGGTCGACCAGTTCAACGCGCTGAATGGAAAGGTACGTAAAAAATGGTTTAAATGGGCTAGGACGTCTAGATTCCCATCGATAGAGCGTTAATTTCTTAACAACGTAACTTAACTACTACTTAATTCCTTACTAAATAATTCCTAACAAATAGCTAGATGCTGCCGCATCGCGACTGCGCCGCATGCTGTTTGGTCCTTTTTTAGCGTGTAAAAGCGTGAATTTCCGTATTTTTATTTCCTTTCTGAAATCCTCGCGTAATTTTATGCAAACTAGTAGTTTTTATTATCAAAACTCCAGGAATCAGCGAGATCAAGAAATTTGGGGCTAACGACGGCATTACGACACGTAATCCCACGCGCCATAAATGTCGACTTTTGCCTAGAAATGTTTAGTTTTTTCTCAAATATTCTGCATTTGTTCGCGAGCAAATAAATAGTACTCTTTTACTTTATAAACACTCTAGCCCTTTAAAAAAGCAATTTACTAATTTTTAGGGCTACGGTCGAGCAATTCCTGGCGACGCTCACCAACTCCGAGACGCTACTAATGCCGGGCGGATACCATCATAATTGCGCTGCCAAACAACCCAGTTCATACTTCTCGCGGTAAGCATAGTAGAAGCTTTTAAAGAGGCTGTAAAGTGAGAATTCGACGTTATCTGCAAGGTTTAGGCTGACACGCTGGGGCGGCGGAAAGTGTGAAACCGGGAAATGGCGGCACGGGATCTGCATTTGGGGAATCGAGGATTTGCCGTGGCTTAGGTACGGTGGCTGGTTTTTTATAATGTCGAAGTTTCAGCCAATTGAATTTACTTTTTCGTAATTTGATTATTCCGATGTTCATCATGCCGATTTCCGAAACCCTGAATGTCAGCTCCATTAAATTTCGATATTCCCAGTTTTGGCATTATGAAATTCTCAGGAAATTCTCAGTTTCGACGTTAGGAATTTTTTTATCTCCTAGGTTTCGACATTTGAATTTTGAAACTATTAAGTTTCATCTTCTGAGCCTATGCACTATTAAATGTCGATATTCTGAGTTTCGACGTTCTTATTGTTCGATATGCTGGGTTTCAGCATTCTTCATTTTCGATATTTTGGTTCCGGCATTATTACATTTCGATTTCCTAGTATATGAACTGAAGCCCCGGAGAAAAGAGTTTTATCAAGGCGTCAGGTAATTCCAGAAACATCTCCAGCCGCTGGTTGATGATCAACAAGTTTATTCCTGATTTTGACTTTCTGAGCATTCACTGTCTATCAGAGAGTATCTACAATAGGACACACATGGGACCCGATTTCGTGGATCTGGAACGTCTGGGAAAGCATTCCATGGTGGGTGAAACTTCTGAAGCATTGATAAAGGGGTTTTACTGTAAAGCTCGAAGCCGCCCACTTGTAAAGGCCAGAAGAATTTAATAAATGGATTTCTTTCAGGTTTACTACAACGATGTGGTGAAGAAAAAGCCCGGGTTTAATGCGGCCACATTTACGTGTAATATTACGTTCCCACAGCCATGATAACCATCGAAAACGGATGATTGTTTACAAATACGGGTTGTAGCTAGATTTGGATAAATCGTTTCTTGCGGTTTCTGATAGGCCAAAACTGCATCACAAATCAAAACTGTAATTGAAGGACCGGTTCAGGGAATCGGTTCATGGGCCTATCAGTAGGCGTAAATAGGTGTATGTGTACTAGATTTAAAATTTATTTATACGGCCGCTTTTTAAAGAGTATTGTTCACCCCCTTGTGGGGGTGTGCGCCGATCCCGACGGCATGTGCAATGCCGGGACGACGCTGTTTGGCGAGAAGCAAGCTTCTGCTAACCGAACGATTTCCAAAAATATGTTAATCTCGTTGTACACAATAGTGTACGTATCGGAGATTAAGCCGATAAGAACTTTACTAATCAATTGATCTTAGCCAAAGGCCAGAAGCGATGTTGATGAGGGGAGGGGTGTGAATTTGTGGTGGGGAGATGGTCCAGGTGGGGGGCGAGTCGGGACGCGAAAGGAGACATCGGACGAACCGGTCTGGGTGGTCGCCCGATTCAATTTGACCAATTGGCGTAGGCTTGGCTTTTGTTAGGCTTGGCTGAGGCCTGGCTTCGCTTGGCTTAGGCTTAGGTTGAATTAGGCCTCGCTTGGACTTGGCTTTGGCAGGCTAGGTTGCCAAGCTAATATCGAAGGCTCCTCATTCCGTAAAGCGAAAGTCCGAAATTAAGCAAAAAGCTTTCCCCTGATTTTTACGGAGCGCCCCTGTTCCTCGAAGAGGTCAGCGTGAGACTCCGTGCCAGTGGCAGTGGTACGGCTTGGGAGCGGACTTTCCGTGGCTCTATAAACTTTCCCAGGTCAATTCCGCATAATTTCGGAGGTTTTCAAGTACTGCCCAGTGATCAGTTCAACACCTTCTACACTGACCATCGCCTAAATGGGGTGGGAAAGCAGCATAAAATGTTTTTGAGCGCAATTTGGGCATATGAGCATATTTTCTAAAGGCCCGCTTTCACAGCGACCGGGTGTTTTTGTTTTGCTATTAAAATTATCCCCGTGCTTTGAGAGATTTGCTATCAGAACGTCGAAATTTTACTGGAAATACAGGCTGATCGCCGATCTTCTTGGACGAAAAACCCAACTCAAAAAAGTTCTTTGAATTTTACGAAAAGCATTATTCAAATACTTAAAATAAATTAAATTTGATTAATGACAATTTACCAGGCCTAAGCCTAGGCCTAATCCTAACTAAGCCCAAGCCCAAGCCTAACCCTAAAACTTAGCCTGGCCTAAGCCTAAGCCAAACCTAAGCCTAAGCCCAAGCCTAGGCCCAATCCGAAGTCTAAGCCTAAGCCCAAGCCTAAACCTAAAACTTAGCCTGGCCTAAGCCTAACTTCAAGTCTAAGCCTTCGAAAAAGCACCTCACACTCTAGCGGCAAGTTCCCGTACCCAAAAGGGCATTTAGCAACACAACCCAATTCCAGTTGCGTCATTTCAATCTTTTGCTATTCCGTCCTTTCCCCTCCCCTCTACTGTAAATCCGGGAGTAAACGTGATTTCGGGGGCACAGAAAACTGATTCGATTTCCCGGGGGGGGATTTCCAGAATTTGGGGGGCCAACATTTTCCGCATAATTGGGAATTTTTTGTGGGGCTGGTCCACCGGGAATTACATAGCAGGGCACAGTGGCGAAAAATTGCTATTTTTTTTATCCTCGATTTGGTCTGGTCAAAAGCTGGTCGAAAATCGCGGGATTTTTATTTGAAAATTTTGACTTAGGCCTAGGATGAGCTGAAAGCTAGAAAGCTTTAAAATAATTAACTCTTACTTGCTAAATTGCTAAAATTGTCCCTGGTAAATTACAACGAAAAGTCTGAGCCTGAGCCTAAGCATGAGCCCAAACCTGAGCCTAAGCGAGTATTTTCATCGTTCTTTAGAAATTTAGAATAGAGTTTTTTAACAAAATTTCGAATCGAAAAATTATTCAAAAACAAGAAAATCATTTAAATTTCCATGAAAAGATCGGCAATTCTTGATCGAAAAATCGCTTTTTTTGCATCTGAATAAAAATTTCTAAAGTGCCCCCCCATAATGCAGATGTTGGTCCTTCTTCCCCCCCCCCCCGATAACGCGAAAGTGCCAAAAAATTAGCTCCAGGAATTAAAATGCTATCTTCTAGTGCATTGTCTTCCGCTCTGTGCTTTAATTTATTCAGTTTCTTTATTTAATCCGATTTTGGTTGCTAGCTAGCATCGAACTCCCAAGTTTTTAGTGCATCTTAAAGGGCTGCCGACGGCATGTGTCGATCCCCCCCATCAACAAATTGGCAAGTAGCCAACAGGGCAGAGAGCGCGCCCGGGGGAGAGGCGCAGAGACATTTTCTTTCCAGCGCGTAACCGATCGACTATGCCGTCGGCATCCCTTTAAACCAACGGGTTGGCCGGCGCCAATTAGCATATTTTCCGGGTAGTACACTCCGGCTTTTGGGGCGTAATTTGGGCTTGGGAAAGCGGGGATTTAGAAAAGTAGCGTATTTTTTTGCTGCCGTTTTGAAATCGAAATTTTTCGATCTGAAAAATTGGGGATTTTTGAAATTTTTGCGTCCATCAAAACAACCAGCCAATCACGCTATAGAGTGTACTTTAATTTTTGCAGTATAACCAATCAGCCCGGGTGGCTACAAGCTTTTTTGCGCTGCAATAATAATTTGCAAGAATGGCGCCCAAGATTAATTCCTGGGCGTTTTTTTTTGGTTGGGGTATTTACAGTGGTATAAATCTTGGGGGGAAGTGCGTGACTAGCAGGATTTCCCAGGGACGGTTCTATATTTCAATTGGGTATAAATAAATCCGAACACACGAACCATTAATATTTGGTGTTTTTTGTTTGCGCGTGTACATGAGCTAGTCACACGACCAAAGTGAAAAAGCAACATTTGGCACGGCAGTGGTCAAGGTAGTCACACAAATAAAATTGGTGCAAATCTCGTCAGATTGTCACTATTTAAAGGGACCGGCAAGCCGGGCAATCGGTTCCCTATGGATTTTGCCCATCACTAAATTAAATTTTGCCCATTTAAAAGCACATCTTACGTAGATTTTCATGAACAGCTGCTAAATTGGCAGGGAAGCCGGAGCCGGATACGATACGATCCGGATACGCAGCAAATATCCAGATGCAACCGCTGCGCATTTTCCCCCTCTGTTTAGAGTGGCTTTAGACGTGAGAATGCGTGAATTTGTAAATTCTAAAGCCATTCCTCGAATCCTTGGGCTATCTTAATCATTATTCTTGGAATGACTAAGATCGAAGAATTGGGCGCGCTACAAGGCATTACAAGATGTAATTCACGCGGCGCAAAAAAGTCGATTTCACCCCATACCAAACGTTTAGTTGATTTTTTTGATGCTCTGTATATGCATCTCCCTGACCGCGAAAAGTTTTGGGCGGGGGGAGCAGGGGTAAAGTTCATTCTTACCCCCTTTTGTTACCCACCATTTATGCTAATGGCGAGCTTTCCATTAATGCATCGGTTCCACTTGCTCGCCGACTGCTGGAGCCGTTAAAAAAATCATTGTCTCCTGCCGAATTACAGCGAAACTCAGAAGGGAAATAATTGGAATATCGAATCAACGAATTACTGACCGCCTCGTTGTCAAAATTCAGTCCTTTGAGCACGGGACCGGAAATACTCTTCTTTTCTAACCGTTTCGCTTGTTTTCAAGCCTAAAATTCTAAATTTTACATCGTGATTTGTCCACACATCGTACCGTACAGTACAATAGCTCAGATGGCATCGAATGTCGGGGCGGGCCTGACGACGACAACTTCCCTGGATGACTATGACGATTTTGAGGAGCGCTTCGTCGACCCGTTCGAAATCACCTCATCATGTGTATTCGTCGTACTCGGCGCTCTCACGATTTGCATCTACTACCGTATCGCCCGGGCACACGCTCGGCAAGGCTTTCGCACTCATTTTCAACGCATCTTCTTTGTCCTCATCACAAATGTAAGGATTTCCAGGTGTACGAACACAACCTGCCAAGCCTAAGCCTAGACTAAGCCAAGCATCAGCCAAGCCTATGCGTAATCCTAAGCCTTAACCTTAGCCTAATAAGATTCACGATTTTTAGGACATCTTCACCTTTCTCTTCCAACTTTTCGATGTCCGGCTCCCGACCTGGGGTGTACACGAGTGGTATCTCGATCTCCGGGTTAGTTTTGGATAATTTAAATGTTCCATTAAGCCCAAACCCGGTTTTCATCCTTTTTATACAATGGACTGTCACGGTAACTTTAAAATTTGAAAACTAAAGCAAGCTGAAGCGAGAAACAGATAGGCAGGGTGAGCAGGAGCACGCTTAAATCGAGAGATAAAGAGAGCAAGAACGCACTAAGTTCTCTGTCCCTTTAAAGTCCACCATTTCAGGAAGGACTCTGGCCAACCATCCTCAACTACGGGGCTACCGTAACCCTGATGGTGCAGAGTTTCGGGACCCTGTTAATAGCCGTAAATCGGTTCACCTCTCTGGTTATGCCGTTGCGGTATGAGCGGGTACGTTACAGTACCAAATCTATTATTCTCGTTAAGCTCGTGGTTTTGAGAGAAAGAAAAGAAATTGATGGCAAAAATGAACGTCATTTGACGTGCTACGTAGCTGTCGATACCTAATCTTTTGATCGGGTCGATTTTGAGTATTGCCACCCCTTCACTGGACCTTTTAGTTGTGGAAACGTGTGACGCATCCGTGCTGCGTGGCTGTCGTCGTAATACCCTGCATATTGAGCATCAACTGCTTGTTCGTCCGGAGCGAATTTATACGACTATCCTGGGGGTATTATATACCGAACACCAACATCTCGGTGGGTACCTAGGGGCAAACACCATTTTGTTAACCCTAAAAGTGATGGTAGGCTCGAATAAATCGGATTATTAAGAGAGCCATGAAGACAAGATTAAAAAACTTCATATTGCTGTCTTCCGAGTCGATTTAAAAATTAAACCTACTAAATCGAATTTTCAGGAAGAGGAAAGCTGGGCTTATTTTGGCTTCAACATGGGCTGTCTCCTCTTTAGCTTCCCGCTCAACGCTTACCTCGCCTATATGTTGATTTGCAAACGAGTGGTGGGTGTTTTCTAGGGACCGACTAGCGAGAGAGCAAGAGAGAGACAGAGAGAGCAAGGGAGAGAGGGAGAGAGTGAGAGAAAGGAAGAGAGTGAGAGAAAGGCAGAGAGAGAGAGCGTGAAGAACTGCATTTTCAGAAGCGAAAACTCTCAAAGCGAGAAGTGGCTTTCACTGCAACGACAGTCTTTCAATTTGTCATGGGCTGCATCAATGCTGTAGATACGGTAAAAAACTAAAGAAAACCGGGAAAATGCGAGTTTTTTAGATAATTTGCAATACGCAGAGCATGGACGATTTTTGGACGTTTTTCCAGCTGGCGCCAATTTTCTGCGATTTGACCAGTTTTTCGCCACTTTGGTAAGATTGCGTGAGAAAGGCAGAGAAACAGAGAGAGAGACAGAGAGAGAGAGAGAGAGAGAGAGAGAGAGAGAGAGATAAACCGCTCCCTCCCAGGTTCATCGTCCTCGTCTCGAAAGAAACGCGTGAAACCGTGCTCGGAAAACGTGACGACACGATCTCCGGCGGGAAGGCGCACAGCAAGATTGCCGTCTCGAGAATTCTCTCCATCAACCCGACGCAAAATGGGCCGCCCGTCGTCAGCACGATTACATTCATGGGACGCAATACGGTGCATGTGGCATAGGAATCGCCGATTTTCGTTGTTTCCAAGTTACTGTCATTCCTTTTGTTGTGATTACCGTATCGACGAATTTTTGGTCAGAATGCTCCAAACGACGGGTATGTGTTTTAGGAGATAAATTTGTGCGTTTAGAGACATTTCAAGACAGAATGAAGCTGTATGAAGTCACAGATATCTCCGGTCTCTCTTTCTCTCTCTCTCTCGCTCTGCCTCTCTCGCTCTCCCTCGCGCTCTCTCTCTCTCTCTCTCTCTCCTCTCTCTCTCTCTCTCTCTCTCTCTCTCTCTCGCTCTCTCTCTACTTCTTAATGCTAGAAAAATAGACTGTCGCCCGAATTCTGATATTTCAGAGCTCATTTGGAGGTCGTATGTTGAGCAACAGCTGATCCGCCTTTCTCTATCTCTCTCTCGCTCACTCTCTCTCTCTCTCTCTCTCTCTCTCTTTCTCTCTCGCTTCCGAAAGATATCCAGACCTCGGCAGTGAACAGGAGGAGTGTGTGCAGTGCGGGCTCCGACCTCGGAACGGCGATTTGGGGTTGGTTGGGCGAGAGAGAGAGAGAGAGAGAGAGAGAGAGAGAGAGAGCGTGCAGAGAGGAGGGATATTTAGGGACCTAACCCGGGGATGAGGAGGGAGAGTGTTGAGCCGTGGCGGAAATCCTCGATTGGAGGGCGAGAAATGGGGAGGGATTAGAAATGAAGGCGAGAAAGTGGGGGGAGAGGGAGAGGGTGCAGACAAAAAGGGGCAAAAGTTGGCTGAAGATGGAGAGGCATAGAGAAACGACAAGGATAGAGTTGAGTGAGAGAGTGCGCGAAATCGGAGAGGCAAAACGATAATGTGGAGGCGAGAGAGCGCCAGATTTCCAGAGACCCCAGAGCCAGCAGTGGGGGGTTGTTGTGTGTGGTGTGCGGGCAGAGCTGAGGGGTGTCCCTGGGTGTCTCGCGTACACTTCCTCCCCCCTTTTCAGAAGCCTCTCCCCCCTTCTCTACCCCCCTCCAATACATCCCTATTGACCTTTTCGAGCACCCCCAGGCTGCTGCTACTGGCTGGTGGGGGGCCAGTTTTGGGGCTTTATTCCCATCTCCTCGCAGCTTCTTCCCCCTTGGCCCTCCGGGCAATTTTCCGGGCATCTGGCCCGAGCTAGAGGCCCCCCACTAATTTATGCTCACCCCTCCCCTCGATGCCAAATTCTCTTGCTCCCCCGTTTTTCGTACGGCGAAATTAATATCTTTTCTATACCCTACGTGGATTCAAATAAAATTTCCAGTAATTAACGCTATTTTTAGTATAAATTTTGAGGATTTTTCAACTCTTCAAAGCGCAGAAAACTCGTCTAAACTCTGGTTCAACTTTTATGGATTTCTTCGCTTTTTAAAAAACTCTAAAAAGGTCTTAAATCTCGACAAGAAATTACGAAAGCTAAATACCACTATCTCGACTCTAAGAAAATGTTAATTTGAGAAATATCGAAAAATTCTATTGATCTTGAGATTGCGTTATTCTTCAAGCTTCGGCACTTTTTATTTTTTCAGTCTTCAATTTTCTCCTATGTATTTTCGCTTGTTTTCTTCGATTTTTTTTCTTTTTGTTTCCTTTCCACTTCATGTATCCTTTTTTCCCATACACAATTTTCCGTGAACCAAAAAAAAAAACGCGGGTGAATCATTATGACTGGCTACGCGCTATTTGTTTCACTCGCCACAAGCCCGGCTCCCCAGTCAGGAAAGTCGGTTCCGGCCGGAATTTTCTGGCAAAAACGTTTCGAATGAGAGGGTTTTACCATTGCCCTCCGTCACCAATGCTCTATTTATCGTGGTCAGGAGGGCTGGCGGCCGTAAAAATAAGATTCTGGCCCAAAACGACGTTCCTTGGTTAATCCGATTTTTCTGGCATATCGTGCCGTTACAAAAAATTTCCTAATACTTGGTATCTAAATAGTTACGAAAAAAAGAAAAAGAAAGTAAAATCAAACTTTTCCATTTAAAAATTTTCTCTCTTTCGCATCGCATCCCCGATTATCGACCAAAATCCTACATGATATTTTTCTATTTTTTTGTTGTTTTTCCACCTAAATATAAGTTACATTTTACTAAAGCACTACTAGAAAGCATACTATTAGGCATTACTCGGCATTGCTGACCTTTTCGAAAAATTTGATCCCTGCGGAAATGGGAAGAGATGCAGAAATTGTCTCGACTTTCCATTCATTTTGAGAAAATCAAATTGATGGCTTTATTTTCAATCTCTAGCTGTTCAAGAAAATAAATATCTCTCATGTTCTCACTGAAAAAATCTTTAATGAATAAAACTCTGGATTTTTCAGGGTTTTTCCGATTTCGCGCGGGCATCCGAGGCACGGGCATTATTTTGGTGTGCGGGGCGGAATGTCGTGCCAGACGGGAATTCGAGGTACCGTATTAAAATCGATTTATAAATGGATTGAAAAATCGAGGATCTGCTCGCGAAAGAGATTAGCCATTTGGGCCACAAAGCAATTCAATTGCGCGATGAATAGGAGCGTTGCGCTGGGTTGTAAACGCAAAAAAACCGGAACGAGGAACAGAAATTGATTAAGTCTACATTTTACAGCAAATTCCACTCTCTCTCTCTCTCTTCCTCCTCTCTCTCTCTCTCTCTCTCTCTTTCTCTCTCTTCCGAAATGTGCAAATCGGCTTTGTCACGCCGGGGAATATGAAATTTCGGCATGCGCGTTCGATTGCTGGCCATATGGAAACGCGGCCAAAATGGTCCACCGCTACGCTTTCAAAGTATTGCCAAATGTAGGACGAGGTAAATTTGATAAATCCATCCTTGTCCCCATCGAAATTTTAATTCTTGCCCGGCGATTTTCGTTTTAAGTTTTTTAAATTTGGATTTGAAGGGCTTTTTAAGCGTATTTAGGTGTTAACGATTTACCCTGCCTAAATATTTGTTTAAGATTTGTTATCCGCCGCTCAAATTCCATCTTGTTCACATACACCGATCGCTCAGCCGGCAAAGTTCCGCCATTCCCCTTCGGACCCCTAAAAGTAGAGGGGGAAGGAGAGGGGTGGAAAGGACTGAGAAACCGCTGATGGATGACGACAAGCGGCTAAAAATGGGGCCTTTGGCGGGGGTTAAAAAGATAAGGCCTAAACCCCAAAAATGCGCAAAAAATTTTGTAAAATAACTCCAACGAAAACCTGAAATTCTGTGCTTTTCCATCATCGGATGGGAGGTAGAAGCTGAACGGGGCGGGCCCATTTTTTCTTGGGACTCAAATGTCCTAAAAATTTTCTAGAAGCAGTGTTTCTGAAGTGTTTTTATATGCCTAAACGTAAAAATCCTAAATTTTTATTAAAAATACAAAAAGTGGGTCTCTCCACCAAAATGTCAAAATTATTGTACTTTTTAGAATGTTTTTTGCATTGCAATATAGATAAATTCTACCCAAAACATTATTAGAAAATTAGCACCACGCTTTTAGGCTTCTCTGGAATTATAGGCGCACTAATTGCCGCCCCCGCTAAGCAACCTTTACCACAAAATCCATAGCGGAAAAATCATAGACAAACCTTTTCCAGTCCCTTTAACAAGTACAGAGTGCAAGAGCGCATCCTGGGGCCAAACTGATCAGAGCCCAGTCATCCCCCCATCCACCCAGTTTCTTTCCATTACGTAGCAAAATACGGCCTCAGTGTCGAGTGTTCCGTAAATAAGGCGCGGGGCCCTGGGGGGTTGCGCCCCAGCTAAAAAGACATTTTCGGACGGGGCGGATGTGGATGAAGTCTTGGTGTGTGTGGCCCAGGGGGTCGGTTTCTCTCTCTCTCTCTCTTGCTCTCTCTCTCTCTCTCGTCCATATCCGCTACACGACAGTCCGTCTCGGGACAGTCGTCAAAACAGGCCCCGGCAAACATGGAAGAAATGTCGGGCCCAGGATTGGGGGGTCTGGATAGCGTCAGATGGGGGCTAATGGATTTGGGGTCTCTTCCATTTTGCGGGAGGAATATCGTTACATTGAGGTCCTTGAGGGTACTGTGGCATTATCGGGGGGGTAAATTGTTTGTATAACGCCATAAAGCCTTAATGTAGCCGGTATTTTAAAAGTATTTTTCGTTAGTTTTAAACAGATGTTTCTCATTTTGGAAAATACAAAAAATATGTTGCCAATATTAAACATCGTCAACAAAAACGCGCCTTACCAAAAACTTGTAAAAAAAAATAGAATATTAGCGAGAATTGCAAAACCCCGTGAGAAGTCGACCCTAAAATATTTTAAAAATCCAATTTAAAAGTACTTTCAGCCAACGACGCTCTGAAGAACGCCTTCAACTT